CATATGCCTGTAGCCAGATCTGCATTTGTGCCAGCTATCCCAGTCCTCTTCCTTGTCCCATTGCCCTCACACTGTGCCAAGTTTCTCAATTTATCCCCATTTCCTGATATCAGGCTCCTACTCACAATCTGAACCAGTCCTTCAGGGAGTGATGGGCCCCAGACTCCCAGTCCTGCTTCTGCAGAACAACTTTTTACCCTGGCATCCCCCCTAGCAGCTCCCTCCCAGACATGATGAAACACCCACAAAGGTGTGTCCACAAAGGTAGGAACAAAGCCTGAATGTTCTGACTTAGCCTCTCCACACCCCTCCCTTGACCCCAGCTATGAACTGAGCAGTTTTGCTGGGAAGGGGAGCCCCAGACAGGTATTGCCTCATAACCAATGAGGTCTGTGGTGCTGAGGCTGCAGGAGGGAGCCCTGATTGTTGTCAGAGCTCTCCCACCACTCCACATGGCTCCAGCACCAGCCACAACTGTCCATTCATCAATCACTGAACAAATGGAAATTTAAGGGCTCATGGCTCTATAACACAGAAAACAATTCCCTGTGCATTTTTACGGCGCTGTGATTTATTGGATCAGAAATGATGAACGGCAGCAGGAGGGGGCAGGGCCAGCACACAGGGGAGTGCTGATGCACTGGAAAGCAGAGAGGGAGGTGTAGCTGAGGGCAGGGAATGGGAAAACCCCAGGACTGCTGCTGCATGGGGCTGGGGGAACACCACCACCGACAAAGACTGATTTCCTCCCACACCTTGCAACCCCGCCATTCAGTGCAGGATTTGTAGCAGAGGCTTCTGTAAGAAACATCCACATGAAGAAGAACAGAGCTGGGCTCTGTGCTCCTGAGGCACAGCCCCACGCTTCCCAGGCAGCCTTTGCTGGCAGCTTTGCAGATTCAAGGCACAAGAAGAAACGGAAAAAAGATTCATCTCTGGGGAAAGAGGAGCACCTGGTGGAAAAACAGAGCGTCAACGTGAGCACTACAGCTCCTCCCCTCTGTAATCTCCCAGCTCTGGAGTTTGGGCTGCGTTCAGCAGTAATTGAAACCAGGCTCTTCAACACAGGTGTCAATTACTGCCTGTTAATGCAAGGAGCACTGATACATACAGCAATTACACAGCTCTGCAAGGCTGGAGAGCACAAAATGAGATGGAAGGGCTACTTATGCCACTGTAGGTGTTGTAGGACAGCTCTCTGCCCCAGCAAACCTCTTGCAGTGTTAGACTGGGCAGGTTTTTGCCCTCTAGCTGCACACCTGCACCTTCACCTGAGTGAACAGCCCTTGTCACCAAGAAGGGAACAATATCCTGGGCTGCCTCAGGTAAAGAACTGCCAGCAGGTCAGGGGAGGTGGTTCCTGCCTTTATGCAGCACTGGTGAGGCCACACCTGCAGTGCTGTGCCCAGAGCTGGGCTCGTCACTACAAGGTGCGTGGACATGCTGGAGGCCACCAAGGGGCCATGAAGATAATGAAGGGCCTGGGGGCACCTCACATCTGGGGAATGGCTGACAGAGCTGGGACTGCTCAGCCTGGAGAAGGCTCAGGGGGAAAGTTGTCAATGTCAACAAACACCTGAGGGGAAAGTGGAAAGAGGATGGAGCCAGGTTCTGTTCAGTGGTGCCCAGAGACAGATGCAATGGGCACAAACTGGAACAGGAGGTTCCCTCCAAGCACCAGGAACTACTTTTTCCCCCAAGGGTGACTGAACACTGGAAAAAGGGTGCTCAGAAAGGTTGTGGAGTCTCCATCCTTGGAGATATTCAAAGCCATTGGGACACATTCCTGGGCAGCAGCTCTGGCTGGCTCTGCTTGAGCAAGGGCTTGAGCAAGATGACCTCCAATGTCCCTTCCAACCTGAACCATGCTGTGATGGTGAACACATCACATTCGTATTCTTTGTCTTCTGCCATTTCTACATTTCTCTTGCCCAGCTGCTCTTCTCCCACCTCTCTGCTCAAAGCCTCCCCCATTCCTTGCCTTCCAGGGCGCGATGTGCCAGTGAGGAAGGGGGCTGGTGCAGGTGTACTCTGCCAATGACAGCAAGAGGACAATGGAAAGTGCAATTCCCAGAAAAACCCTGCAGAGGTCCAAGGCTGTGAACATCAAAATCTGCATACCCCAGCAAGGAGAAAAACCAAGAGAGCCTCAGTGCAGCAGCAGGGGTATCAGAGTCAGAGGTAATTTTTTACCACTGCAGGGACTGCAGAAGAATATGAGCCCTTTAAAGCCCCAGGCTGGCAGTAACCAGCCTTCCTCCCATCTACACCCTGTGCTCCCCCTTCCCCACCTCACAAGGCACCAACCACAAACCATGTAATGAATACTACAGAAATGTTCAGCTGAAATGAGAAATGAAGCACATCCTGAGGCATCCCTACTGCTGGCACCAGGCCCCATGTTGCTGCTCTGCCCTGCTACTCCTGTGTGTTTTGAAGACAGGCTCGCTTCCCCACTGCAAGCCCACTGGTGTTACATATCTTGTGTGCTGGGCAGAGGACCAGAGGAGTGCAGGGGGGTCTGCAGGGACACTTTCTCCTCGCCCTCGGGATGTTTACAGTATTGAAATTTTAGCAGGAAGCCAAGCATCTGTTCTTCAATAAAGAGGTCTCCCAGGGGGATGTGTGGGGAAGCAGAATCATCACACATGTAAACACCTGGTCTTACAGGCAGGAACAGAGTTTGAGGAAGGAGTTCAACACTTCTGAGACTCATTCAGCTTTGCTTCCGCTGCTTAATGAGTTCAAACACCATCAATATTCAATGGCAGCCCTCCCTTGCCAGGGTAGCTGTGTTGGTGGGGGGCTGGCAGAGACAGGGAGGTCTGAGCAGCACAAGCACACCCCCAAGCCCTCCCCACAAAAGGGCTCATCCTCCTGTGCTGCTGCAGCACACGTGTCCCTGGCACTGCCCTGCTCCAGAGCGCGTCCAGGACATTCAGCCTTCACACACTTCCTTTGAGGAAGGGGGCAGAGCCAAACTGTGCCACAGAATGTTTGTCTGTACTGAAAACTACTTCCTCTGGCCCCTGAAGTGGCCCCTGGCTTGAGGCTTGTCAGAAAATGGTCTGCACAAGCAGTGAGCTGCACCACTCCTCTCAGCCACAGAGACCACACTGTGGCACCAAGAGACCTCCTAAAGGCAGGAGCCAAGGCTGGGTGCTCCCAGGGTTTCCCATCCCGAGCCCACTGCATCAATCCAAGCCCCAAACAGCTTCAGCAACACCAAGAGGCCTTAACTACCTCTGGCCAAGGCACTGCAAAGCCACCCAGGGCTATTTCCAGAGGCAAACAGGACCTACTGGTGCTCCCAGCTCCCACTAACATCCTGTCTGTACTTCCATCCTTCCTCCTCAGTAGACTCCAATCTCCAATTTTACTTTCATGCCTACAGTCTGTACTTCAACACTCACTACAGGATTGTGCATTCTCATTTATTTTGTGCCATTGCTGCAACACTCCTGGCTCCCTCCTCCAAGTCCTTCATCTTTGTGTCTTTTTCCATTTCCAGCATTTTCAATGCACAGTAGTATTTTTTTCCTTATACGAGAGAGTGGGCAAAGGTTCTTTCTCCTTTTTTTAAATATTAGTGCCCGTTCAAGCAAGGTAGACAGTGTTCAGCAGAGGTGTGGTGCTGCTTTAACACTCTGCTGCACTGCCCTACACCAGCACAGTCACACCCCACCCCTCCCAAGCTCGCCCACAACTCTGCCATGTTCCAGCAGCTCCAAGACAGAGCTGGAGTTCTTGGGCATCACTTCTCTCTTAAAAAGGGAACAAGGCTGGAAGCAACAGACCACAGGGTTCTGCAGGTCACAAGCACAATTGGATTTAATCTTCAAACACCATATCTGGTGCAAATTCTGGCCTGAGAATGAAATTGCCTTTACCTTGGATTTACAGGGATATGAAATCTCGGTCTGGGAGTTACACAACAGAAGGATTCCCAAGGTTCAATTGCAGGTGAGTGGAAAGTGAAATGAAGCAGCAGCTGTGATACTGTTGAACACAGCTCCTGTGCAGAAAGTGCCACTGCCCCACATCAAGTACAGAGCATTTGGGGCCTGGAGCTCCCAGCTATTGGCAGGGTAAACAGGGTGAATCCTGCTGGAAGCATCACAAGTCCCAGTTATTGGAAAGTACAGCTAGAGCCAGACCAAGTCATTCTCAGCTCCAGACATTCTACTTGATGCACAAAATCCCTTGGTCTGCCAGCCTTGTGTGGACGTGCTGGTTCAATAGCTTTACATGAGGAAGCTGCACCACCTGCTGTCTGCTATGAAGCCAGTTACCAGAACATGATCAAAGATGATCACTAATAACTAAAGTTTTCTTCAGAACCAGTTTTGTACAGGACATGCTCTTGATTAAAGTCATCAAGAAAGACTTCATATCTGAAAACTAAGAAGCAAGATCAACAGAGAGACCGTTTAGTCAAAATGGCTCAGGCTCTCAAACAGAATATGAGAAGTTCACTTTAATACTCAGCTCCTGCCAGGAGAAAGATTGTACTGTTATCCCTTTGGAAAACTCTGTCAAGTTATTTCTACTCTAAAAACTACAAAAGCCAGCACTGAACAAAACTTTGAAAGATGTGGAAATTCTGCTGAGCAAAAAACCAGCCACCTGCCCAACACCACTTGAGGCTTAGCAGCAACGAAAATGACATCTTAAATCCTTCCCCTTCCTGGACTGCAGCACTACCTGATCCAATCAAGTGGGGCAAAGAGGTAAGATTCTTACCAAAAGCCACAATACTAAAAGTTGTCTTAGAATATGGTGCATTAAGGCAGAGCAGTAAGTTCTCTTGGCTGGAATAAATATGGGAGGCTGCAGAACATCTCCCTAATTCTAGAGATCAGTGACAGCTGGGCAAGTGTTTTGTGTGAGAGACCTTATGGGCATGCAGTAGCAAGGTCAGTGGAGGACTAAAGAAAAGGAGTTGAGAAGACAAATGACCTCTGCTTGATGAAGCATAGGTACAGAATATACAGACAAAAGCAAATGAGAAAAAGTTTATTTTAAAAAACAAAAAAAATCCACCCCTCAAAATCCCACATACTTTTTGATAAGCTTATTGCTCAAGTTAGATCTCCTGTGACACTGCTCATTCTCCTCTTGGCCTGTAGCACCAGAAGTACTCTTGCATCCCTGTCTTCCCTCCAACCTACATCATCTGGAAATGTTCATAATTTTCAACTGGTCCCAAATACCAGCATTTAATTCTCTCCTTACTATGCACACAGAACATGGAGGTCCCCAGGCACAAAAGATCCTCGCTGGAATAAAAACAACAGTAAAATCATCCCTGAACCACTCCGCCTGCAGTCCAGACATGTCCATGGTCTGCTTCTCAGTAGACAGCCTTCAGGATCCCCTAATGGACTTTTTACAGCTTTTCCCTGTCTCACCTCGCCATTCTGCACCCACTGAAGCAGGGCTTGTCTTCCAAGCTCCTGTGAAAGGGATATTGCCTTTTCTTGTGCAGCATCTACAGATCCACACTGTGGCAAAACAGCAGAATTCTCTCACTGGGCCCTGGCTCTGCTTTGGGTGGTCACAGAGACTTCTGGACCTTCCTCCTGGAGAGCTGTCAGGCAGGTTTGGTAAGAACAGAGCGGGTGGCTTTGTGCTTCTTGTTCAGTCAGTGCTGTTGTGGGGTTTCAACAACCTCTTCCTCTTCCTCACCACGCTCGGGGTGGCGCAGCAGCAGCTGCAGGTCAGGGTCAGAGCTGGCCCCTTTGTGTGGCTCCAGTGCTTTGTCACCTGCATGCAGACAGCCCCTTTAGTGACAAACTTGCTGGAGTTCCCACCAAACCTGGCGCTGTCAAGGAGCTGGAACCAGACACAGCTCCTAGTGAAGCAATGAGAAAGCCTACAAAGAAAGAGAAAGGGATTTAAAACAATCACCTTTGGAATTCATGGCTTTGAGAACAACGTGGAGGGAGATCCCCAACAGGCAGACAGCAAAGCCCAGCCAGTTCAAGAGACTGAGGCGGTCTCCCAGTAAATGTGTGGCCAGGAATAAAATGCAGATTTCCTGTGGAAACAAATAAACATGACAAGTGGCAGGGCAGGACCTGAGGAGATATGCATGAGACATATTACAGCTGAAGCCTAGATCAAGATGTCAGGCTGCTAAATTTCTATCAGCACATTCTTTCATGCACACAGAGTTCTAAAAACAGTTTCTAGAAACAAACAACCTGTCAAACTGGGATGTGGGATTTTATGTCATCTGACTGCATAGCTCAGTTACACAGGGATCTTGCAACTTCTGGATCAGAGAGATTTCATATATCACAGTTCAGCTCAAAAGTATGTGTGCTGGACTGCTCTGGGAAGGGGAGGATGTGCCAAACTAGGCTACAGAGATAGCTCAAACCAGTGGTTTGGTCATATGCAGGTCTGATGCAAGTGCTTGCCCTTCTTACCCCTCCTCTCTTCCACACCATCTGCTGCTCATGAGAGCAATGTGTTTTAGTCTAGCCCACGTTCCAACAAAGTTTGATCATTAATGGTATTTTTTATAGAACAGCCACTACTCTCTGGCCCTTTGCTGTCAGGGACCAAGAGACTTCACTGCAGAGACTGCAAGGCAAAGCATCAAGCTCCTGTGCAAGGAGGACAAAAATAACAAGCAATAATTTCTAAGGATCTAAGCAAGCTCCCACCACATAAAGCCCAATAGGGATGACTCAGTACTTGCCTTCTAGTATTAGCACAGGAACCATGCCTTACCTTAAAAATGCCAGCAATGGAAAGGGTGAGGCTAGATGTTCTGGAAACCAAGAGGAACTCAGAAAAGCCTAGACCAAAGGCAAGAATTCCACCCAAGAACAGCTTCCCTACCAGAGAGAACAGCATTCCTGCTTCATGGAAACGGAAGAGCTTCTCTGATATGGACAAAGGAAGGCCTAGGAACAAGACAATGAGTAGCAGAATACCATTCCCAGCTCCCAGGATTCCTCTTAATAAGATCGAGTGGTGGGCTGCTCACATTCCAGTATGAGGAGGATGTGGAGCCAGTTCTTCACAGCCCTTACTTCCACAAGTGTGGCAGGCTACTACTTCTATGCACTCTTTAACGTCCTGCCAGTGTAAGACAAATCCAGGTCTCGAACTACTTTGCAGAGTTCATAGTTGTTCACTTATCTAAGTGAATTATCTCGAACAACAAACTGCTAAGCAGTCTCCCAACCACTCTATAAAGCTAACCCTGCTTTCTCTGATTAACTCACGCACCCTCAAACACCGCAAAGAGTGGGAGGAGCCCCAGGAACATGAGCGGCTGCAGGTGAAACATGATATCAATGGGATTCTGGAGCCCTGAAAGAGGAGAATCAATAACAGAGCAGGCAGCAACAAGCCAGGGAATAACACAGGTCCCAGAACTTTTATTAGCACCATTCCTAGACGTACACCTTATTTGTGATGCCCACACCCGTGCTGCTGCAGACACCCAGCCACCTTCATTACCCACCAACAGCTATCCTGTGCCCAAGGTTTCAAACACCTTCCATGTTTTGTTTCTGCAGCAAGGGCTATCACCTCTCCCTATTCCCCTCCCTGATACCAACACCACCAACCCCTCCTAACACCCCACATACCCAGTTCAGCCTTCTGCATCAGTATCTGCGTGAGAGTCCAGCGAATGCCCCCCAGGAAAGAGGCACAGAGCACAAGCACAAACCCCTGTGTGTTGAACTGTGTGGACTTGTAGGTGAACATGAAAAGTCCCCCAGCGATGAGCAGAACCACCAGCAGCAATGTCACCCTCTGCAGGAGAGCAAACAACAGAGACAGGCACCTCCTTCCTTTCAGATTCACCCACAGAACTGCATCATTCCTCTGCTTACTCGTTTCTTGTACATGCACTGCCTATTTCCCTGGGTCTGACCTCCCTCCCTAAAGCATTGTGTGGGACTCTTACCATTTCCTCCAGCTTGAAGAGCAATGAAAAAAGCAGGATGAAGAGAATGGCGGAGGATTTGGTCATCGTGTAGCTGTAAGGACCAAAATACAGTGTCAGACTCCTTCAATGTAGTTCTTCCCATCAAAGTACTATTAGGAACCATCACCCATTTTTACACTGCTACCAGCAAGCTATCACAGACCCTGCATGCTGACCCCTCTAACCAAGACTCTGGCAAAGGACTCTCCAAACCCCACCGGAGGCTCCCAGGAAACGTGGTGTTTGTACTCACAGGGAGACAGTGACATACAGGAAGCTCCAGTTACTCAGCCCAATATCCAAGGAAGTTGACAGAGCTAAAGAATCAATGAGAAAGTCCTGAAGTTAACTGTCCTGTGACATTAAACAAACCCACCACAAAACCCTGCTTCGTGGCCACAAACAAGGATAGCAGAGCAGACCCTGGGGAAAAAAACAAGCTTTCCTCGAGTTAGTTCTTCAGAACCAACATAACTCAGATATTCTCAGCTCTCCATGTTTCTGTCCTGTTCTCTGTGACTCAAGCTGGGCTCAGCATTGCACTCACTCAACATGCATTATAAAAAAGCCAGAAATAACTCTTGCCCTCCCTGTGACTGAAAGTGATTGCAGATTTGCATAAAGTCTTTCTTGAATGTATCAGAACATGATAACTTGTAAATCTGAGGGCCACTGCAAGAAGCCTGAAGAAGCAACAATTATCAGCACACAGCCTTAACCCTGGTGCAGCTTTTGGTACAGTCTATTCTCCCCTCTATGGAAGTTTCCTACTGCAGGAAACAGTGTTACTGGTCCAAGGGCAGGCCATGCTGGAAGGTAAAATTGCTGCAGATGTGGAGAAAGCTTTTTTCAAGAAACATGGGGCATGTTAGGTAAGGTATTGCAAACCTCGCCAGAGATCATAGACCAGATGTTGTTCTGTGGGAGCCAATACAACACACAGCCAAAGAACTGCAGAGTAGTTACAGTTCTGTGCTCCGAGTAGGAGCTTCACTCCTTGGTCTCAGGTAGTTCTGTGTGCCATAAATGATGAATTCTCTACCGAGCTCCACCTTGAGAAAGATGAAACGCATGGCTTGATACTAGCATTAAAGAGAAAATGTTACTTGCAGACAGAACTTATTCAAGGGATTGCAGAAGGTTCTCTGTGCCAGTGACTCCTTCAGAAAGATTAATTCTGTGTGGCCTCTCCCTATTCTTACCTGTCTTTGTACTGAGCAAAGAAGGTGGCATGTCTCAGGCTGAAGCTTTAAGTAGTATCTACACCTGCCCTACACCTGCTCGGGAAACACGGGGGCTGGAGCGATGGCTGCACCCCTCAACTCACCCTGTCCAGGGGACTGGCCCCAACCACACCAGGCAGACAAGTGGCTCTGGAAGCGGCCAGAGCCACGGGCACCCCTGAGCAGCCCCAGAATCACAGAATATGCTGAGTTGGAAGGGACCTCACCACACCCTTCACTGAGTCCAGCTCCTGGCCCTGCTCAGGACACCCAAAGAATCCCACCCTGTGCCTGAGAGCATTGTCCAAATACTTCTTGGACTCAGTCTTGGTGCCATGACCACCCCCTTGGGGAGCTTGTTCTAGTGCTCAACCACCCTCTGGGTGAAAACCTTTTTCTAATATCCAACCTAAACCTCCCGATTCAGCTTCATATGTTTTCTTGGATCCTGTCACTGATTACGAGAGTGACAAAATCAGTGCCTGCCCCTCCGTTTCCTTTCGTAAGGATGTTGAAGACCACAATAAGGTCTCCCCTAAGTCTCCACTTCTCCAGGCTGAACACACCAAGTGACCTCAGCCGCTCCTCATTCGGCTCCACTCCCATCACCATCCTCGTGGCTCTCCTCTGGATGCTCTCCAACACCTCAATGTCTTTCACGTATTGTTGCGCCCCAAACTCGTGGCCCGCTCCCGCTCCCGCCCCGCTCCCGTCCCCTCCGGTGGCCGCCGTACCTGCGGGGGCGGCCCGGCGGAGGCAGTCGGCCCAGGACAGCGCTGCCCGCGGCCGCCCGGAGCGGCAGCGCGCCAGGGCACGGCCGAGCGCCGCCAGGGCGAAGATGAGCAGCAGGTGCAGCAGCGTGACCAGCAGCGGGAACGGGAAGCTCTGCGGGACCGACAGCCGCTGTCACCGCCGCCGCCCTCCGCCGCCGCCACCCCGCACCGCCCCGCCACCCCGCACCTTCATGAGCCACTTGTTGTAGAAGGTGATGCCGATGGAGAAGCCGTAGTAGAGCAGCACCAGCGGCGCCGCCAGCGCCGCCCGCCCCAGGGCCGCGCCGCCCGGCCCCGCCGCCATGCGCCCGGCAGCGCGCCGGGGAGCGAGGAGCGGCGGGGAGCGGGGATGGGGACGGGGGATGCCGGGGACGGGGCCGCGGCAGGGCAGGGCAGGGCGGGACGGGACAGGGGACCGCAATGCTGAGCGGGCCGTGGCGGCGGGGGAAGCGGGGCCGCCGGTGACGTTGCCCGGCGGGGCGGGGACCGAGCGACGGCGGCGGAGCGGGGCGGGCGCGCCGCGGTGACGCTCCGCGCAGGGCGGAAAGAGGCGGAGGCGGCGGCGGCGAGGAGCGCTACTGGTTATTATTGGAACCGATACAAAAGGCGGGCGGGCCCCCGGCCCGAGCCCGCGGCACGGCAGCAAGCGGCGGCCCCGGCCGCACAGCCCAGCGGGCTCGGGGCTCTCAGCCGTAGTGGTACACGAAGTCGTAGCTGCTCGGCTCCTTGGGGATCGGCGGCGGCGCTTCGGGGATCTGGATGTTCTCCAAGTCCAGGAGCCTCAGCTTCATTTCCATGCTCAGCAGCGTGTCCAGGTCACTCTTGGTCAGCTCACTGGACATGTCCTTCCCCAAGAGAGCATTGAGCCCATCAATCCAGATACAGTACTGTGGAAAAGAAGGGGTCATTCACGACTCCAGGCATAAATGATACCTTGTGTTGAATCTTTCTGTCCATGCAAAAATTAGAAAACTTCAAGACAGGAAACACTGGAGTCAGTTAATATATAGGGAAAAAATCCCACCCCCAGCTCTAAAACAGTGCCCACTTCAATTCGCAATAGATGTTAAAAGCCTAGAGGAAAATGTGAGCCCATGGCTGTACTAGAAGGACAAGAGTTTCTACTGTGGCATAACAAATGAAAAAAGTAAACCTATTCTAGGCATCATAGGAGGAAAAATAGTAGCAGTCCAGACTAGGGGAAATTAGTGTGGGATTTTTTTTTCTTTTTAAATGAAAAGGATAACTAAGGGGAAAAAAAGATCGTTCATACTAAGCATCAGCAACATATTCTAGGAATGAACCTGCTGAGAGACAGCCTGCTTGAGTCTCTAATGAGAAGCAACTGATCCTTCTTAATCTCTGAAGTTAATTGCTATATATTCTACTGCTTAATCACTACGTTTCTTACCTCATATTTATTAGGTGCAATGAAGTTCAAGGTCTCATCGGGATCGTACAATATGGAGAAGGCCAATTCTAACACTTCCTAAATGGAAAAGAATCTTTCATTCACCAACTGAACAGAACATTCTGCCTGGCACCCTGAGAGAGCTGCCTTGCTGCAGCTCAGCACAGTTTCTTATACAGGTATTGTGAGCAATTCTGAAGACACTACAGCACGATCATGCTTACAGCTTACAGTCACAAAGGAACACAAGGAAAGGGCTCAGACAGGAGATGGGGTTGTACACAACACACCTGCAGTGGGGGAGATCATTCACTCCTGTTGTTCGCTTTCAATCTCAAACACTACAGCATTAGATATTAATAACAGTGAAAAGGGAGCACTTGCCTTATTCTGTTTCAGTGCACTTTTCTCCTTCATGTGTGGACAGTCCTTCCCTGTGACAATGGCTTTGATGTCTGCAACTGGAACTAACAGTGAAAAAGTAAAACTCCCAAACAAGCAATCCTAACCGGGAAAATACAGAACTTTGTTTTGTCTTTGAAACTGAACGCTGTTTAGTTTTTTTAGCTCATTAGTGCAGTTTTCCAAAACACATTACCAGTAAGACATCCCTGTAGCTGGCTTTTAAAAAAGAACTATCAAGTAATTCCAAGATTTGAAGAATTTGGGCAAGGACCAAAAGTTGGTATCTCCTCAGTCACGGCTTCAGACTTGTGTCTTTTATCTTTATCTAGGATTATATTCAACCTCTAGACAGCAGAGCACAGAAGAGTGCACAACCTGCAATCAGGACTTACTTTTTTCTTGTAAAGATTCAAAGGTCACTTCCCCCTGGGCATTATCTTCCAGGTCTCCATAGTGTAGCACCTTGTGATTCAGAGCCAAGCGACAATACCAGAATCTTTCTGGAACACACACCAAGTAGAGTAAACTGAGCAAGATCATTCACATAAGGTTTCACAGCCACTATGTTACAGCCTCTCCACCCAATCCATCTGCTCGCCCAGTTCCTCAGCACAGCTTCTTATTCATGAGGGGATGGCTGTATTCTTAGAAATGCACATTTGTGCCATTCCAAACTACTGGCTGATATGGACAGCCAAGGAACCAGCTTTTCTTTCTGGCAACACGCCTGCTGACAGATTAATTAATTTGATCTTATTTGCTACAGTTCTTCACATGAAAAAATACAGTAGACACTGTCACCTTACCTTGTCTTCTGCGATTTCCAATTTTCCTAAAGCTACTTCCCTCACAAAGCCTGTTCAGGCGCTGCTGCTTTATCAGTTCCAAGATCTCAGGTTGGATTTTCTCTCTCAGCTCCCTGGCAATCAAATATGGAAGAGTAAGCAAAAAATGGAGATAATGGCATGGATAGAAGGCAACTGTTTTTGTTAGGCACATACACAATAGGTGGAGACTGGAAGTCATCTTGGCTCATTCTCTCAGACTGGCGTAGCCGCAGAATCTCAGAATAGCTCAGGCTGCGCAGTTTGCTCTTGAACTGGTCCAAGGAGTTTGGTTTAGAGGGCAGAGCCCTTGTGATCTGTTCCCTAACAACCTGCATAACCTAAAGAGGTGGGACAGGAAGAAAAATCAATCACATTCTTGTTGGCAGCAGGGTATCAGGGCACAGCTCAATGGCAGCAAAGAACTGACATGGGATAACCAGGGCCAGGAGTATCAGGATGCTAGTGACTTTCAAGAGCTGAAAGAACCAATAAGGACCTCAGGGCATTCCAAATAAAAGTTAAGTCATCCTCCCTTACAGCTCATACCAATGCCCTGCCACATCTTCTGCGGCCTACTCCTAAACCAAATGTACAGGCTGAGTGGACATGTGCTGATCTGCAAAAGATTTTATAAAAATACCTCTTCTCCACCCTGACCTTATTAAAATCTTCTGCTGTTGCCCTCATTTCTTTCCAGGTCTTGTTCAACAGCTGGATACAGATGGCAAACAGTTCCTCAAATGCACGGTCATGGGTGAAAAACATGGGGTGATAGTCATTCCGGCCTTCATTGGCTTCAGAAAGAAACAAACCACAGCCATGTGAGCATATTGGACAAAAGGTACTAGGAGTATCTAAAGTCCACTATAGTGACAGACAACTGATGGTGTCCAACAGTACTTATTCAAAGAGATCAAGACAGTTCAATACTTTGTCACCCCATAGACAGTTTATTGACAACAGCAATTCTCCCCACACTTTGCCATGCAAACCTCTGTGACTCATGCCCTTTTCATCCTGGTCCCAAAATAACTGCTTGCAGTGTTTCCCACCTTGCTCTGGTGGAATTTCTTACAGTGGTTAATTTTCTCACAATGCTGTTTTGAAACTGTCAGAGCTAATAAACTTTTCCCAAGTCAATGACAGTTTCAAGACTATTTTTTTATACAGCACCCTCCTGAAGCTCTGGGAAGTTGAAGCTTTCTGCTTGTATCAGTTCTTCAGGAGAACCAGAGTGCACACTGCTAACTCCAAGCCTGCCCTTTCCTTACATGGCAGAAGTGAGACCAAGGTACAAATGCTTGTGAATATCAGTTTCTAGAAACATCAGCCCTGCAGCCTGTAAAGCTGGGTAATAAATGGTACTTACGGAGTTCCCCAACTTGCAGGATCTCACAAAGCATCCTGGTGAGCTCAATGGCACTGCGCCCAAAGGGACACTCATGTTTATCTTCTCGGCTGCTGTTCTCCAGAACAATCTATAAGAACAGGATGCCACACACACTAAGAAGAGCTGCTGAGGTGTTGGCATCTGTAAAAATCAGCAGCTTCACATACCCTGATATAGGTGTCCTGATGAAATTTGGCCAAGTAAAGCATGTTGTCCAATGCCAGCATCCCAGGAGGAGTCTGCGTAAAATCCATGGCTGGATTGATGTGATTCTGTGAAAAGAGTGTGTAGAAAGATTCCAAACACATTAGCTCAAAGGAATTGTGTGAGAACCTTTTCTGAATGAATTTTAAACCACGTGTCCATCAAGTACTCCCTCACATCTGTCCAAGAGGTAACCCTGAACACCTGCTGACAATGCTATCTGAACTTTCTAGAGGAGAGGCTGGTTCCAAGTTCTTCATAGCATAGGTGCATAGGGTAAGGAAATAACTCCAGAAAATGCCTAATGAACCCTGGCATTTAACCCATCAGCAGGTTCATAATGATCTTCCCCAGGAGTGTGAGTGCAACTGAATCTCTAACTCGGGTACCAAGTAAGGTAAAGGAAACAGCTATTTCTGCTCCTTATTTCCCCACAACTCCTATGGAGATTGCTCAGGTTGACAAGATTTACAGTCTAGATGCATACAGTGAATCCCAGCATCTTGTAGTCCTTGGTGTACATGGCTTTGCGTTTCTCTGTTCCGCTGCCAGGGACGGTGTTGCTGTCAGACTCTGCATCAAATGCAATTCTTCTCAACTCAAATATGATGTCTCTCTGTGCCTGAAGGACAGAAGGCAGGGAAATGGTGACGTGATCAATCACTACAGCAGTATTTTCACACAATGCACAGTCCTGCATCGCTCTTCAGAGCTCACACAATGAACACAGATGCCAAGGGTCATTAACACTATGCAAAAAGAGGCAATCTGTTTCAAAATGGCAGGTTTCAGTACAGTGGGTAATGCAAAATATTTGTTTGCATTTTTCTTAAACTGCAAGTTTAATAACAGGCAATTTCTAGGCATTCAGGTAATACTGTGGCACTTCTCCTTAAAAACTGTAATACAGCAGAGTAACAGACACCTTAAAATGCCCAGTTTTCTTCCTATACTGAAAGAAAATGGATAAAATGATGTGCCTGCCATAGAGGTAAAGTAACCAGTTTGACAGCTGGCATCACACTGGTCAAGAAAGGAGTATATAACTTTCAGTGCCCACTTACATGTCAAAGTCCCACAGAATGCAGTAGGACGGTCATGAGCATACCCTAATCTCAAGGCTGACATTGTGAAGGGCAAGTCTGAAAATTTATGTACCATCCACTGCAAATTCCATAGCACTAGGGGGCTCAGGAATAAGGCCCCTTGT